ACACATGAAACCATAGGCACCAACATCTCATACATCTATTGTAGCAATATGTTTACTGATACATGTCGTAGGACAATGGAAATTAAGGAAAAAATAAACAAATGAGACTACATTAAGATGAAAAGCTTCTTAACTCCAAAAGTGACCAACAAAATAGCAAGAGAGCCCCCTACATGGTAGGACATATTTGCCAATGATACATCTGATAAGGGGTTAATCTCCAAAATATATAGGGAACTCCTATAACTTAACAAAAGGAAGACAAACAATCCAATTAAAAATGGGCAAAGACCTAAATAGATACTTCTCCAAAGTGGACATACAAAAAGCCAAAAGGCATATGAAAAAATGCTCAAAGTCATTAATGATTTGAGAGATGCAAATCAAGACAACAATGAGGTACCACCTCACACCTGTCGGAATGGCTGTCATTAACAAATCAACAAGTGCCAAGTGTTGGCGAGGAAAGGGAACCCTAGTATACTGCTGGTGGGAATGCAGACATGTGCAGCCTCTGTGGAAAACAGTATGGAGTTTCCTCAGAAAATTAAAAATGGAACTCCCATTTGACCCAGTGATCCCACTTATAGGAATATATCCTAAGAAACCTGAAACACTCATCAGAAAGAATATATGCACCCCTATGTTCACAGCAGCCCAATTTACAATAGCCAAGATTTGGAAACAGCCTAAGTGCCCATCAGTAGATGAGTGGATAAAAAGCTGTGGTACATTTACACAATGGAATCTTACGGGGTGATAAAAGAGAACTCTGACCATTTGCAACAGCATGGATGGACCTGGAGAGCATTATTTTGATCGAAATAAGCCAGTCAGAGAAAGATAAGTATCACATGATCTCACTCGTGGAATTTAATGAATCAAATAAACTGATAATCAAAAAGAAACCCAGAGACATAGAAGCATGAACAGTCTGTTGAACCTCAGAGGAAGGCAGGGAGGGTGGATGGGAAGAGATCAACCAATGAACTTGTATGCATATATGCATAATCTTTGGACAAAGACAATGGGGTGGTGAGGGCCTAATGGGGGGGTTGACTGCTATGGGCTGGAAGAGATTAATGGGGGAAAAGGAGGACTTATGTAATACTTTCAACAATAAAGGTTTTAAAAATGTGGGTAGGGGATTTAATGGGGCTTCAGTCATCTCAAGACTTGACTGAGGGAAGATCTACTTCCAAACACATTTGTGTGGCTGCTAGCTGGAGTCATCAATTCTTTCCACATGAAGCTCTCCATAGGGCAGCTCACATGCAGCTGGCCACTCTAAGAGCAAGTAAGAAAGAGAACAAGAAATAGTGCTCAAAACAGAATTTATAATCTTGGAAGTCACATTCTATCACTTTTACCTTGTTCTGTTCTATCCACTTACAGCAGTGGTTCTCAACCTTCTGGCCCTTTAAATACAGTTCCTCATGTTGTGACCCAACCATAAAATTATTTTTGTTGCTTCTTCATAACTGTAATGTTGCTACTGTTATGAATCAAAATGTAAATATCTGATATGCAGGATGGTCTTAGGCGACCCCTGTGAAAGGGTCGTTCGACCGCCAAAGGGGTCGAGACCCACAGGTTGAGAACCGCTGGCTTACAGAGATGTCAATACATCTAATCCACACTAAAAGGGATCAGATTGCATAAACCCATGAATAGGAGCATACTGGGATCTTGGGGGCTATGTTAGAAGATGCCTACCACAAAGACACTATACTTTAAGTACCTGCTTGCTTGGACTCTGTTTACTTCTTTGCTTCTTTCTTTAAACTATGTTTTATAAAAACAAGGGTTGTGTCTGTTTTGTTTAATATTCTAACAAATATGGTATCTAATGTAGTCAATAAGTCTTTGATAAATGAACAGGTGAAAGAATAAACTTTAATAGTGGTTGTGATCACAATTCTAATATGAGGGCACACCTGTCAAATCTTTTATTTAACTCTTTAATTGAGAGAACAAGTAGTCTTCTATATATATAAAAGGCTAGTATGCAAAGTGTCCCTCGGGAGTTCAACCGGGAGACCGGGAGTTTGATCACTTGTCTCGGGAGTTCAACCAGGAGACCGGGAGTTCGATCACTTGTTATGACTTGTGCTGATCACCAGGGGGCGGCACAGAATGAAGGAAGGCCCTGGCCAGCAGCCAGAAGGCCCCAATTGGCCTTGATAGCCAGCCAGGCCTAGGGACCCTACCAGTGCACGAATTTCAGGCACCGGGCTTCTAGTATATTATAATCCACTCAAATGAAAACTCAAAGTATCAGATCTTTATGATCAGATAAGGACTGCTGACATGATTTCTACAAGTGGGTGCAAAATTGCAAAACTGGTCAGTATCCACAGGGCAATAATCAATGGCATTTCACTGGACACAATTTGCATTTCTATAGACAAATTATTTCCATCACTAACAGTTTCCTACAATTATATCTCTACAGTGCTGTAAAATAATATAGTGAAAGGCAAAGGTAGAAATAATGTGGATTGATGAACTTGATAGTGTGCTCACTACATTTCAAAGTCATTCCTAATTTTTTCTTACAAATGAATGGTATAGACTGGGAGAATAGGCACTCCAGGAAAAGGCCAGCCAAGAAGATAGTCTTAGCTCTTTTCTTTTCAAATTTATATAAACAGTTGGGACATTTACTTGGGGACTTAATTGTTTTTGATTATTAGGGAATAGGATTTTCCAGATATGTTAGAGTATCTCAGATGGATCTCAGCACCTTCACAATATGCCTCTATTCCCTTACATATGGTTCTTAACCTTGTGGGATAGAGATTATCTCTGAAAAAGTAAAATCAAACCATTCCAGTGCTTCTGGGGGATGATGTTATTGTTGGTAGAAATAGTTATCTTCTACAGGATCATGAGAAAGTGTTTCAGGTACCCATGCATTGGAGGAGGAGGTGTAATGGTAAGACTTACTGGAGCTAGAACAAACACGACTGTCCCCAGGTGCCCAGTGTCTCATCCACGACCACGTGGCTTAGCTCCCTCCTGCTTCGAAAGTCCAGCCTTGTCTTCACCAAGTCCAGAAAAAGGGACAGGGTCCAGAAATTCTGTGTCATTTGGCCCAGCATCACCACACCAGGGCACCTGAAGCTTTTGTAGTTCAGTTCAGTCCATACCAAAGCTTAGTCCAGTGCAGTCGCTGCCCCCATCCAGCTATTTTAGTCTCTGTTTCCAGGTGTGATCTGGTCAGCACTGTGCTTGCTGCATCCAGACCCACATTTGGAGTCTGCCCAAGCTTGTGCCTGGCCCCTACACCTGCAACAGGCCACACTTGGAGTTGTGCAGCTGCTATGGAGAGAAAACACGAGCAAATGGGCAAACTAACAGCAAACGTGTGCTACCCAGATGGGCCTTGGTTAAGCTTTAATTACTTTACCTCACTCTTGGGAAGAGGTAAGCTTTCTTTCAAACTAACCAATCTTTCCAGGCTTTTCACAGGCTTGTGTTGGCTCCTCCCCCTATCCAATCTGGTCTTTTCCCCAGGTTTTCCAGGCTAGACTCTGCCCTTTGTGTTACTATTTTGACTCCTCCTGTGCATGCTTCAAAGTAGAAGCACCACCACCACCACCACCATCTTGGTTTCTACTGCACATGCCTTCAGCAGAGGAATTTCTTGAACTTTATTGTTTATTCCTTACCCCCATATTCCCGGCCAGTAGACTAAGTCCCCAGGGGAGATTAGAAAGCCAGTTCATTCTCCCTACACAGGGAAGAGGGGACATGGAGGATGTCCTACTGAGGACTTACGCCTGCTCCCTGCAGGAAGCCTGCATAAGCTGCAGTCTGGCCTCCCTCTGTGGGAGGCAACGCCTCCCCCATCACCCTGCTGTTGCCGCCCAGCCTGCCTCTGTGGGAAGTGACTGGACAGGTCAATCCGGGGATGGTGCCGGTCCCCCCCATCACCTCTCCGCTGCCACCCATCGCTGCCCCCCTCATCGCAGTTCCCTCCCTCTGCCCGCTGGCATGTGCCTTGGCTGACCTGGTGCCACCTGCTTGCTGGCCCCACCCCCCACTGACTGGTTGTTCTGCCATTGGTTCGATTTGCATATTATGCTTTTATTATATAGGCTAGCCACTTAATGATTACTTAGCACTAGAATATGGTCACATTGAAATGATTCCAACCCTGATACCAGTATAGGAAGTTTACTTTCTAACATGTATATTTCTGTAACATTTCTTAAGTAGTGAGCATATATTACTTTTTTAAAAGAAAAAATTACATTTAATTATAAAAAATAGAGGAAAATAGATTTTAAAATAAATAATTAGTTGGTATCACAGACTGAATGTTTGAATTCAAATTCAATGGGAATATAGGCCATTAGACTATAGGTTCCTTAAGGTCAGGAATTATATCTTATTCATTTTTCTAGCCTGAAAACCTAAGAAAGTGCCCGAGCACACCATAGTGCTAAATAAGTGTTTGACCTATTAAAGAGTGAATTAAAAATTAAGTGATAATTTTATGTAAATAATAAGATATCCCTATGGAGCATCTTCTTACTAGATCATTTGAACTTCCCTATTCAAACTTCCAAATTCCTAATTAATATTTATCAATAGACTCCCATCATAACTGAATGTATCTTAACTATTTGTTTGAATCCCATAAAATTCCTGTTTTTGTAGAATGGTCATATAATAGCTATTTTATTGGCTTATTCTAAATAAATCCAGGTCCATGTAAATTATTTGTTATATACAATTTGGTAGGGGTAAAATAAGGCAAAGAAACTAGATGGATGTTCTCAAATGAAACGTTGCCCTGCTTCTATACTACCAGGAAGGAGTTGGGTTCAGTGCACATGTGTGTGAGGTACTCTTATATGTTAAAGACATAGGAGGCCTTTGTGGGTGGACTAGCCCTAATCAGATATATATTGTTTCTGTGCCACTTGTGTTAGTGCTGGTCTGTTTGATTCTAACACCTGTGCTGGGTGGGGTTCTACGGCGCAGCTGCCGTTTCCTCTACCTTCCTGCTATGGACTCCTTCCGGCGCCTGTGTCTGGCAGAGCCGGTGTGAGACGAAGAGACCAGCCTTGCCTGCCGCCGGGGTCATCAAGAGTTTCGGCCGGACCTCCGAGCACACACACAGAGATAGTGAGGAGCCAGACGCAAAGCACAGACGATGGCGCTGAAACGGATTAATAAGGAACTTAGTGATTTGGCCCGTGACCCTCCAGCACAGTGTTCTGCAGGTCCAGTTGGGGATGATATGTTTCATTGGCAAGCCACAATTATGGGACCTGTGTGTGTGTGTGTGATCTTTAGGGTACTCTATAAATAGTATCCTGTCATGCCACTGTTTCATTACTGATTTTCTGTCTGGATGATCTATCCTTTGATGTAAGTGGGTATAGTAATGTTTTTAAATGCACTTTTAAAAATTCAAAATCCTGATGCTGGGTAACCACATTTGTTTTCTTGCAGTTCTTTTATCCATTTGTTCACTGCTATGTGATCCAAACCCAGATGACCCCCTAGTGCCAGAGATTGCACGGATCTATAAAACAGACAGAGATAAGTACAACAGAATATCTCGGGAATGGACTCAGAAGTATGCCATGTGATGCTACCTTAAAGTCAGAATAACCTGCATTATAGCTGGAATAAACTTTAAATTACTGTTAAAAAAAAATAAAACCTGTGCTGTATCCCCAACATCTTACTGTAATAGTGCACATTGGAATTCACACAACTCTAATAGAGATCTCAAATCAGTTTAATCTTTTTTTCTCACCTGTGTTTTAATTACTATGCTGTTGTCAGACCTTTTCATGGAGAGAACTGAGCGTGGGAGATGTCACTAAGGGAACTTATCAAAAAGAGAACTAATTTATATAAGTGTTTAAGTATTTATTTTCCTTCTTCAATTTCACAGCTTATTTAGATCCAAAAGGCAGCATTAGTGAAATAAAATTTTCACTGTGTAAAAATGTTCCCCAAGAAAAAAATTTCCTTGCTCTTGAAAATATTTTTGTTGGAGCAACACAGAAAAGTAGCACAGAGCCTATTTGAACAAATTACTTGAGTCAGCAACTCTATACAGACATAATCTGAAAGATTCATGAATTTGGGTCAACATTGCTGAAGGAGACCTAACATTTCAGTGTTCCCAGCCCAGTTTGGAGCATATTTCAAAGGGCCATTTATCAGACAGTACTCTTGTCTAACTGTGACTATAGTTTCTTAGTGTTGAAACAATGAACTAACCTTTGCATGGGACACATACATGACCTTTCCCAGGAGTTATTTGGGTGTGAATTTGGTGTAATTTCATTGTCTATTACTTCATAGGATACAGATTAAAAAACAGTAACATTATGTAATATAATGTTTGCTTCTAAATATTTCCTGGAGGGGGTGCATGCAAAAAAATGAAACTAGACCACCAACTTAGACCATATACAAGAATAAACTCAAAATGGTTAAAAGTCTTAAATATAAGATGTGAAACCATAAAAGTCCTAGAAGAAACCATAGCCAGCAAAATCTCAGACATCTACCATAGCAATATGTTTACCGATACATCTCATAGGACAATGGAAACTAAGGAGAAAATAAACAAATGGGACTACATGAAAATAAAAAGCTTCTGCATGGCAAGGGAAACCATCATCAAAATAACAAGAAAGCCCATTGCATGGGAGAACATATTTGCCAATAATACATCCGGTAAGGGGTTAATCTCCAAAACATAAGGATCTCATACAACTTAACAAAAGGAAGACAAACAATCCAATTTGAAAATGGGCAAAGGACCTAAGTACATACTTCTCCAAAGTGGACATACAGAAAACCAAGAGACATTAAAAAATAGTCACTAATCATCTGAGAGTTGCAAATCAAAACAGCAATGAGATATCATCTCACACCTGTCAGAATGGCTATCATCAATAAATCAGCAAATGACAAGTGTTGGTGAGGTTGTGGAGAAAAGGGAACCCTAGTATACTGCTGGTGGGAATGCACACTGATACAGCCATTAAGGAAAACAGTATGGAGTTTCCTCAGAAAATTAAAAATGGAACTGCCATTTGACCCAGTGATCCCACTTCTAGGAATATATCCTAAGAAACCTGGAGCACTCATCAGAAAGAATATATGCACCCCTATGTTCATAGCAGTGCAACTTAGAGTAGCTAAGATTTGGAAACAACCTAAGTGCCCATCAGCAGATGAGTGGATAAAAAAGCTGTAATATATTTACACAATGGAATATAATGCGTGGCAATAAAAAAGAAAGACCTCTTCCCATTTGCAACAGCATGGCTGGACCTGGAGAGAATTATACAAAGTGAAATGAGCCAGTCAGAGAAAGATAACTATCATATGATATCACTCATATGTGGAATCTAATGAACCCAATAAACTGTTGATCAAAAATAGACCCAGAGACATAGAAGCATGAACAGAAGGTTGAACCTCAGAGGGAAGGCTGGAGAAGGTGGGTGGAAAGAGATCAACCAATGAACCTGTATGCATTTACGCATAACCCTTGGACACAGACAATGGGGTGGTGAGGGTTTGTGGGGGATGGGAGCCAGCTGGAAGAGGTTAATGGGCGAAATCGGGTGATCTATTATGTAATACTCTCAAC